AATGATTGAGTTGATGACATTCATGGGGAAAACTTTTGTGAGCAGAGCATGGTTTGAATTGACACCTAACTTCCAAAATTCACCTTTTTATCCTCATTCCTCCCTAAAAAGTGCCAGGTTGCAGGATAAAACCTGAGTAGTTCCCATCATGAAGGACTTGCTGGTGGTGGGTTCTTCTGCATTTTATCATCAACTGCTCTCAAGGGACTGTTTGGTTGGGAAAATCCATCAGCGTCCAGAAAAATGGATTTAATGGAGCTATATAGGGATGGATTGAAATATCTAGCATTTAATGGGGGGGAACACCTCTGCCATAATTTCTGTTTAAAACCCATCATAGAAGAGTATCTAGGAAAGGCATTTAAAAAGTAACTATTAAATGGGTCCTATTTGCTTAGGGGGGGATTTTAATCGGTGAAAAGCTTGGAGCTGGGAGGATGACCCCAGCATCCCCACAGCAGCACAGGGATGTTCTCTGGGGAGTTTCCACAGGGCAAAAACTCCCTTAATAAAAACCCTCATGAGGCTGAGGGAGGTGGAGCAGGTGGCCAAGCCAAGAGCCCCAGGTTGGTGCCAAGCTCCCAGCTCCTTCCTCCCTGTTGGCCATAGTCAGATGATGTGCAAGGCGAGCTGAGAGGCTCCTAGTCTGGCAGGCAGCCTGCTCTGCTCCAGAGGCTCCACTGCTGTCATCTTGGTGTTAACCCCTGATAACCTTGTCCTTTCCAGGGCAGCATGGTGTGTTTTTAGGTAAGCAAGGAGAGGGGGTCATGTCTCCAATGAAGCTGGGAAGGAAAGTGTGCAATGCTCTGCAATGCTCAAAGCAAACAAAAAAGAATATTAAAAGTATGTATGCTCAAAAATAAACCAAGACTAAGTGACTTTAAAAAAAATTGCCAAGCAATTGTTTGTCCCTGGGACAAATATACAATCCTAGTTCCACAGGAAGATGTCTCAATTTCAGATTATAATAGGATGCCAATTTGTAAATAAAGGCATTTCACAGGAGGTGATAAACTCTGTACAAAAGGGAGGTGGAAGGAGGAGGAATGGGAAAACATAAGCAGGATTCTGCTAGAGAAACCACATGGGATCCTGTTTACCTGGGAGGAGCTATGGGGAGCTGCTTCAGGGGGCAAATAGCTCCAGATTTGGGCAAGGTGCTTCTTCCCTGGAGAGCAGATATCAGCAGGGACCAGAGGCATAGTGAAACATTGCTTGCCCGGCCTGCCTGCGATTTTAGAATGAAATGTCATTCAGCCAAGTGGTCCCTTAAACCAGACAAGGTCCCACCGCCGATGCTTCTCCAACCTCCAGAGGTCTTTTCCCATCTTTTTGTTGCAGAGGAGTTGGGAGGGAAAAACTGAGGCTGTGCTTGCTGCGGAAGAGCCTTGTGGGTCTCCCAGCCTCAAGCCTTGCAAAGCCTTGCTTGGTCCAGCACCCACCAAGCATCGTCACTCAACATCTGCTGGCTCCAGGAGACCCTGGGGCAGTTCCAGAGTCAGAGCAATCTGGGTAAACTTTTGAGTTTGGTATTTTATGAATAACTCCTATAAATAAAAAAAGCAGTGGAAGTGGTAAGGACACAAGCCAACTCATCTTGCTTTCCCTCTGTGATGGCCAGCTCTGGGCTTCTTGGAGAGCTTTGCTTTGCCAGCAGATCCAGCACCATTCATCTGTCCTACAGGAGAGACACCTTCTCACCCATCATGAGCACCATAACCTTCCATCAGCCAAGAGCCACCAGTCTCATGCCATATATGGGTCAAGGGCTGGGTGGAGACTATATCATGGAGGCCCAGCACTGATGCCATCAAGCATCATCAGCTCACTTCTACCCTTGGAACAGAACTTTCTCCATGGGTCGTATGGGAATTCAGCTCCCACTGATTCAATGCCACCAGACCACAGGCTGGTCACCTCCAGGCTCTCCAAGCATGGCTTTGCTTGTTTGAAAGAAGAGTCATAACCAAACACATCTGCTGAGAATGAGTCAGTTCAAAATACAGGAAAAAACACCCTCTGTCTCCTATTTACAGAAATTATTTTTATCTCCAATGGGATATTTTTGGTCTCTTCTTTAACCATATAGAGGATAGAAAGAATCTGGGCTGAGCACAACCATGTCAGTGGGAGACACCATGAGCGAGGAGTCCTGACCTACCCCCAGAGTGACCACCAATAAAAATAAAGAAAATAAATAAAGGGAAGAACAAGTGAGAGCCAGCATCTCGGGGGGAGCGAGGGGTACATCAGCCAGAGAATGGGATGGCCAGGGAAGAGACAGCAGAGGTGGGATGAGAAGAGGACACCAGCACAGAATGAAGGACTATCCAATATTGCACTCCTGGGCCAGGAAGGAGAACAGAAAATGGAAGGGGGGAGGAAAAGAGCAGCTCAGATCAGTTATTGCAAGGGGGAAACACTCCCCGCACATCCCCCCAGCCACACTGCTCCCCCTCCCACATCCTCCAGTGCCTCTGGTATCCATCAATGAAACTGCCTTCAGCCTCCAGAAGGAGACTGAGACCCTGGTAGTGGCTGGATCTAAGACTCCTGATCATCAAAGGAACCTTGTGGAGAACTGCAAGGGTGCTTGCTTCGATCCCCTTTTTTCAATGCTCCTCTTGCCATCATTCTCTCAACCCCCCCAATGTGGTTTCCCTGCCAGAATGGCTGGGAACCCCAGGTTGCCCTTCCAGCTTCAAGACGTTAGAGCAGGTCTACTGGCCTTGAACACCGCTACTACACCAGCATCCACTGCCCATCACTGGTGGCCAAAGCCTACAGTGCTATAGCCCAGTACCACCATTCACCCATGACGTCTTCTTCCTCAGCCGCCCATTCTAGTTTCCAAATCTACCAAAATGGAATTTTTTTGCTTTTATTAAAGTCATCCTTTCATCACAGAGCATCAAGAAGAGTGTACAGCCCTGGTCTGGAGAGGATGAGGGATGCTGGATTCTCTGCCCAGCATCATGGATCCCCATCTGTCCAAACTAGATAAGACCTAAGAGAAAATGAGCATTAGAGGATTGCTGCAAAGTGCGTTTATTTTCCTTTCTTGACTGGGTCTCGCCAGCTGGGAATTTTCAGCGCTGCACTTCTGTGTGCAGAAGGGAGATGCCAGTAAATCAGAACAAATTCAAAACAAATGCTCTTTCAAGTAGAGGCATTTGGCTTTGTTTCAGGGCTTGGGTAAGCTAGCTGTATTCCTTCATGAGTCAACTTTTCTATCAGCTCCTCATTAAACTAAATGACTACAATTACATTTGGGGAGGAAAAAAGAGCAGTTAATGATAGCAAAAGGTTCTGTTTCTGGGCTTGGGGGGGAACCTTTGATAAGGAAGACTAAAAATAATGCAATGCAATGAAATGTTAAAATTTAATAAAATAAGTTAAAAATGCATTTTCAGGGCGAAACATGCTTTCTTTTGGGGAGGAGGCTCTATTAAGGAGCTGGAGGTCCCCTTCCTGTGGCCCTTTGGGAGGCACCTAGAACAAGACGTGTTATTTCCTGCAGCCCAAGCCCCCACCTCCTGCCTTCCCTTTGGGAGCAGAGTAGCCAGATGAGATGTTATCAATAGGTTGAACCTTATAGAAAGCCCCCTTTTAAAAGCGAGTACTTCCTCTGCTTATTTCACGTGGCATCCTATGGAACTGAAATCTCTCCCACCCTCTGCAACTGGTATATTTCAGAAGGATAAAAAAGATAAAAGATCTAACAACATCCTTATTGCATTGTTTTGCTTCTTGTCCTTTTTCTTTTTACAGTCTCTTTTTTTTTTTAATTCCCTAAAGCTCGAGGGTCCAATAGCAAGAAAACCCAAAACTCAAAAGTCTTCTGCATTCAAAAAAAAAAAAAAAAGGCGACAAGTTTCTTTGTTCCCTCTCCCCCTTCGTTTGATTAATTCTTATTAGGGCCTTTGAGCAAACAATATGCTCTCCTCTCAAATAACAAACAGGGCATATATTACACCCAAATAAAAACAAGGCTCACTTAAAGACATCCACACCAAACGCAATTCCTGGAAAGAGGCAGGGGCAGATGCACGCATGCAGCCACCAGAAACCTACTTCTAAAATTCGTTTCAGGGTAATTAATAAACCATAAATCAAGGAGACATCAGAACAAAGGGAAGCACCTTCAAACATCAATGAGTACATGCAGATACATGGTTTCAGATACTTTAATCCTGGTAGAGACAGAGCCCAGACACCGAGTTGGCCTGTCCAGGGTGGAAGATGAGGTGCTGAAGACACCTTGAAGAGGGGTGGGAGTTGGACTAGATGACCGTTCAAGGTCTGTTCCAACCCAAACCATTTTTATGAAAAGCCCAAGAGGGGTAGGGAAAACACCCTCCAAACCTCCATCCCATAACAGTACCTGGAGGATGAAGGAGATGGCAAACAGGAAAATGAGCAAAATCGGAGTATCTCAAGTTGGAAGGAATCCATAAGGATCATTGAGTCCAACTCCTGCAATGTCCTCTGCAAAAAAATAGGGTCACCTTTCCTCCCTGGGCACCATGACACTCATGCATTAAATGTAGGATAGTGGTTACCCTACCAGGAGCAGAGCCCAAGCACAGCTCTCATCCCAGAGACAAGAGATGCCACCATCACCAAGTCAAGGAGACCTTGACACTGAATCTTTCTGCACGGCACAACTGCACCTGCTCCCATAATCCATGTATCTGAACGAATGAGAGGCCAACATCGCTTAGCCTTCCCCAACAGTCCTCTTCCTGCCTCGGTTTAAAAATTTATGGAGCATAAGGCTGGAATTCAAAGGAATTATGGGGTTTCAGGGATGGGGAACCTCTTCTGGGGTATGAGAGGTATGCGGTTGCTACTGAAATGAAACCTAATTCTTCCTTTGAGCATGCCTTTCTCAACAACATGCATCCCAAAAACTCCCCAGCATCACTTTGCCTTCCGTTGGGACCCTTGGTCAACTCAACCCACAGCCAAGATCAAAGAAAAATGAAGAGATGTCTTACCTGAAAGCCCCCCAGGGGCTAGACAATTAGTTCCCCCTGTTTCAGTGGAGGAAGGCACAGAGTCTGGACAATCTGATGAAGCAGAGGAAAAGAGAAAAAAATCAGTATATAGGCAGTTCTTCACAGGCTCCCAGCAATGCCATGAGCAGAACACACATTCCAAAGGGCTTAGCAGGAAGCAATTACTAATTGTCCAGCACAGAGACAGTAGTTCATCAAGAAGCATCTACCCTAACTCATTGCCTCAGTCAAGGCTGCGCACTGTGCTTCATCACCACCCAATGCTGATTATAGACTGGCAAAAATTACAGACTGGCTGCCACCTCTCTGACCAAGTCACCGGGTAACAAGATCAAGGTTGTCGCCATTCTGATGTAAACAAGCTCCCAAAAATGTTTAAATGCATTAGATGCTTAAATGTATAAGTGCTTTACACACCCAATTTAGTCAACAACTGTAACTCACCAAAATGGGAACCAAAAAGGAAATGTCTCATTGCTGCCCTTTTGTGACAATCTACATTTATATTCCCCCGCTCAATTTTTGTCACCATCAGCTGCTGGCAGATCTTATACCCTGCTGTCACCTCCTGAGACAGGTGGGCAACTGGATCTACTCCTCCATGCACCATCAAAGGGCAGAGTAAGATCAGCAGCCCTATTAGAGGTTTCTCCTGATGCATGAATGTATTCGAGCTCAAGGTTTGGACCTTTCCATCCCAAGCTTGCTCCTCCAAGTGATGATAGCCAGAGCAACACCAATCCCCTGGTCCTACAGGCAAACTTCAGCTTTTTGGTACCTACCATGTAGGGGACAAGCTCAAGGACAAGCCTGAGAAGACCCATGAAGTTCACACAACCTTCTGCTCCTCAGCAAGTTCTTAAAAACTTTAGGTTTCATCAAATTTGGGCTCCCTAATGACATCACTTTGCTCACAGCTGTATCTCAAAGCAAGGGCCACCACTAGGAGAGTTAATTTTCTCCCTTATGATAAAGTAATTTTTCCAAATTTCATCCCTGAAATCCAAGTGAATGAGAAATTGCTGTCTGCATAACCTCATTTTATCAGAGTAAAGCCCTAACAGGAATATACAGTTTAACAGGATATACTTAATCAAATCGAAAACAATAGGGAAGACGGGAAATGGACTTGCCAAATACTATATATGATGCCTTGTCATGCTTTCTATGCTTTCAAGAAATATCGCTTTTTCTTTTTTTTTTTTTAACCCTTTCTAGTCCAGACAGAAGATTCCTCCTGCCCCTCTCATGGGATGGTGTCTCAGTTTCAGGAGACTGGAGTGTTTTGCTAAGGAGGATGAGTTATGAGGTAGACCAAACTCCTCTCTCTCAGCAATCGTAAATCCCAAATTAAGAGGCTCCAATCGAGGAAGTATGGAAAAAGGAAGAAATAACAACCCTTTATTAAAGGATATATGTATATTGGCAAAAACAGCAACAGAACACAAAAACAACTAAACAATAATCCTGTACCCAAAAGACCTCTTCAAAAAAGGAAACAGTTTGATACTTCTCTGTCCTCTAGTGCAATTCTAATCACGGTTGGCAGGAGCACTGTTGGATCACTAGAGGTGCAGAGCCTGCAGTGCTTGGCATTGGTTGGCAGGGGGCACTGTTGGGCTCTGGTGGTGGCCACGTGGGGGCCCCGGATTATAGAGATTTTTTTCCCCCCAGAGAGGAGGGGAAGGGGAAAAAAGGGGAAAGAAAGGCAGTTTCTTTCCCACTAAACTCACGCTGTCTGCAGCTGGCTGTAGACAGGACTTCCCCCTTGTTCGTCAGTGAGCACAAACTCTATGATGAATTCTGAGCAGATTCCGGCTGGAGGCAGGGCAGCGTGCAGGCAAGCCGAGGCCGGAGAGCAGCCAGATGACCAGGTCGAGAGCAAAACGGCCTCAAAGCTTTTCCAAAACACACAAACACTTTGCCTCCCTTAAGGCAGAAAAATCAAGTGTCCCCTGTTTGTAAGGAGAGGAGGAGAAAAACTCCTCCCCCCTCCCTGCAGTTTTTTAGAAGGGCTATTAGCCGGGAATGCAGGTCTGCCAGCTAGTTCTTTTGTATAGTCAACTATCCCTTCCCCCTCCTCATTCAATCTCCTTCTCTTACAGTGGGACAGGGGAAAGGAAAATTTCTGCTTGGATTTTTAGAACAAGTAAACCTATGACAGATGGCTACAACTGCTTGGGCTACAGATGCTTTCTGAACACACGCTGGACCACCCTGCTTTGCACTGGGCTCCCTCTGCCCCCAACTATAGCTCCCTGAAGAGTCCCTGTGGGATAGAGGACATCATTTGCCCTTTCCATGTTGTCTTGCTCTAGGGGTCATGCACAATCAGGTCCTCTGTTAGCACATCGGACAGGATGGCAGGAGAGAATCCTATCCCAACTTAAAATGTGTAACACTAGCAATGGTACAGCTTTTAATATGATGCCAAATTGCTTCAGGAGAGGAATCTGCAGAATCTGTGGAATGGTTATCAAGCTTAGTTTGAAGGTTTGCCTGGAATCTTTCTCTTACTGTGGCTGATTGGAGATCGTTAACTTGGAGTCTTCTCCTTGGGATACTGCCCCTTTTGGGTTTGAATTTGAGGTTGAAATTGAGTTTACAGCGCACAAGCCGATGGTCTGTTTGGCATTCTGCGCTGGACATCACGCGGGTATGGAGGACATCGCAGACGTCTCTCCGTCGCACCAAGACATAATCAATGAGGTGCCAATGCTTAGATCTGGGGTGCATCCAGGTTGTCTTCAAACTATCTTTCTGCTGAAAGATAGTGTTGGTGATGGTAAACTGTTGCTCCGCGCAGAATTCTAGCAGAAGTCGACCATTATCATTGCAGTTTCCAACACCATGCTTGCCTAATATTCCTTTCCATGCTTCAAAATTTTTGCCTACTCTGGCGTTGAAATCACCAAGGATAATGATCTTATCATCTGCTGGTACCTTTTGGGTAAGGCAGCGCAGGTCAGAGTAAAATTTTTCTTTTTCAGCAGGGTCAGCTTGGAGAGTTGGGGCATATATACTGAAGATGACAACGTGTTGGTTGTTATTTAGTGGAAGGCGTAGGGAGATAATGCGGTCAGAGTGACCTGTTGGCAGATTTTCGAGCTTAGGGACAATAGAGTTTTTGATCATGAAGACGACACCAGAGAGATGTTTTTCGGTTCTGGACTTACCTGACCAAAAGAGTGTGTAACCGGCACCGTGTTCTCTGAGGCTGCCTTCCTCATGAAGGCGAACTTCACTGAGAGCAGCTATGTCGATGTTGAGACGAGCCAGCTCATGGGCAATTAGGGCAGAGCGACGCACAGGACGTCCGCTGTCCGCAGAATCGAGCATGGTTCTGATGTTCCAACATGCTAGAGTTAATTTAGGTACACCTTTGGAGGCAGGTGCATGCCTTTGTCTTTTGCTCTTTGTGCGACCGCATTGGAAGAAGATGCCCGTTGGTCTGCGGTTAACCAACCGGGTGAAGGTGGAGATGGTGTTTTCATGACTTATCAGCTCCCTTCCTGTATCCCATCATCCAACAGGCAATTCTCCTCATCAATTAATTACTCTCTGAAGTCACTTTAGAAGATGCAGAGCTGGTGCACCTTGACTCTAGACCAACCATGATAGTCAGGTGTGGGATAAGCCCAAAGGCAGGACCCTCCTGGGTTCTCTGCCTTACATGTGTCTGGTTTCATCCTTGCACTCTTCCTATCACCCACAGAGCTGCCCAGGGTTCTCATTAGTAGGGGGTACTTGGGCTCATTTTATCTTCAGCACCAGAGAGGTCATAGGATCAGAGGTTTACCCAAGTCTACTGCATGTGGATCTCCTCCCAAAACTGCTTTCTCACAATATAAAACCATAATGGAGACATACATTTAATCCTGGTGGCCACCAGCATAATCCTGCAATGTGCCCAACAGCTCCTGAAAGCTGTCAAACCTTTAGCTCCCCTGAAAGCCAATGCCACAGGAGGGCATTCAGCTCTGCAGTGACATTTCAGTGGGTTTCCTGCACTCTCATACTCCAGCACCACCATGACAAGCCACCCAGGAGCATGATGGACACAGTCACTTGCAGCCTCTTGTTCCACTTAATGATGGGTCAAAATACCTGCTTGAATTATTTGGATGCACTGCTGTCCATCTCACTTCCAACACAGCCACAAGTGGCAGCTCCTGCAGGGACATCAGGGATGCTGAGCACCCACATGCCTCCAGACTTGCACGGTGAGCCTAGCTTCAGGCAAGCCACTGACACCCATCCCTGCAAATGTCCCCTGTAAGGAAGAAGGGAAGTCCTCTCCTTGATGAAAGTCCTCCCCATCCCTGGAAGTGTTTGAGGCTGGGTTAGACAGGACTTTGAGTAACCTAGTCTAGTGGAAGGTGTCCCTGCCCATGGTAGGGGGATTGAAACTAGATGATCTTTAAGGTCCCTTCCAACCCAAACCATTCTAGGATTCTATGAATGAGCAAGCCAGCCTGGACCTCCAGCCTTCCCACAGGTAACCTGGCCATCAAGGGCAGATCTTTCCACTCTACGGCGAGTGCACAAATACCAGATCTATCCTGCCAACACACAATCTGATGTGGCATTTCACTGCCTGCAGCAGACCCCCAGCTCTCTGTCCATCTCTGCTTTCCTCCAGCCAGGGACATGGTCTGTATCAGTCTCCATCATCTCCAAAAAATCAATTTCATCCTCATCATAATGGTTTTAATCTAAAAGAGGAGGGATTCAGACTAGATAGAACAGAGGAATTTTTTATGAGGGTTGTGAAACACTGGCACAGGTTGCCCAGAGAGGTGGTAGATGCCCCACGCCTGGAAACATCCAAGGTTAGGTTGGATGGGGCTCTGAGCAACCTGATCTAGTTGAAGATGTCCCTGCTCATTGCAGAGGGGTTGGACTAGATGGCCTTTAAAGGTCCCTTGCAACCCAAACCATTCTGTGATTCTATGATCATGGGCACTGGCGACCACTGCAAGCCCATACTCGTCCATGTATTCCTGTCTGTCTGTCCATACGAAACACTTACAAGACATGGCACTAAATACTTAAATATTTTTGTAACCACTATCACACTTGATGGAAAAGCAGAAGTTTCCTGCTGAATGCATATTCTCAGCTCTATCAGCAGATGCAGCTGCCCAAGTCTAAATGGAGGGACAATTACCTCGCAAGGTCCCAGGGGAGAAGATGGCTGATGTACGTCAGCCAGGTAAAAGGCTTCACACCTTCCCATCATCATCTACTGTCTCTCTCCCATCTAAACAATCCTCAACATATGGCTGCGAAACTGACACAGGAGATGGCACTGATGTTGGGACTGGAAATCCTCCATCCCTCCGCAGAAGAAACCGTGAGAAACCCTGAGCTTGCAAAATCCACCTGCAACAACAGACTTCCAACCTCCACTTTAGCCTGTTGCAGCCCAGTTAGAGTTCAGCTGCAAAATGGATTTTTCTTTCAAAAAGGAAAAAAAAAGGAGGACTTTTTGGTGAGTAACCCAGTTGTTCCTGCGTTTCTGATGGTCAGCATTAATCACTTCCTATTGGCCAATAGGAATAACTTTTCCTTTCGAAATGGCACATTCATGTTCTGCGGCTTTTCTGTTTACACACATTTTGCTACCTTATGTCAACACTTGCTGATGAATATATATCACTGGGCTAACTGAAAATGAGGTCCTGGCAGAGGCAGATTGGATGTCGAAACCCTGCTAACAGATTTATCCCAGTATCTTTGCAGGAAACCAAAATCAAGCTTTAACCCTTCTCTCCTGCAGCTTTGAACCCCTTTACACCTCATGCCAGGATCATTGGTCAGTGGAAAAAAAAGCAATAAAGGCAGAAACAGAAACTTTTGAGGAAGCACTGCAGGAATGCAATCAAAATTATGCCAATCTCACACAAACCCACAAAATTTCACAAGCCAACAGACCCTCAAAGTCTATTACAGAATAATCCTTCTGCATCCCAGCACGTGCTCAGGATGTTGGACCTACTCCAGATATCCTTTCTTCATTCATGACCCTTTATCTTCTGTTTTTTTTCATGCTGAGGCAAAATAGTTTATGCTTTGCAACCCAAATTTTGGTTAAACATCTTTGCTTATTTCCACAAGGCATAAAAAGACTTATCAGCATTTCTTAAAAAGTTTGCAGAGGGGGGAAAAACAACAGTCCAGCCTCCAAAGGAGCAGTGGGCAGGATGGGACCCGACATGGAACCGAAGCAACCTCAAGGTTGGGGTTTCTCTTAGTCCCAAGAAACTGATGAGCAGCAATTTTACAGAAACTGCTCTTTTGGCAAAAACCCTAATAACCGGTATTGATCTTCAGAAATATATCTATCTTTGCCTCTGTGCACCACCATGCCCGTCTCGCCTGCCATAACCATGGGACATGACCATGGGACATGACCACAGAGACCACCATGCTCCAGCCAACACTCCAGATCCACTAATCCTCAGAGAGCCAGGAGTTGCTCCTTCCCAAGCTCCCCCCATTTCCAATTCTTCCATCTCCTTCCAGCCCGATTTATCTCACACCTGGCAAGCTTGCTGCCAACAAAGTGTTTATGCAGATGACCTCAAAAGAGCTGGTGCCAGCCTCACATGGGCTTCTCCCCTGGCACTCTGACATTCAGTTACAAGCAACAGGCATGCAGAGTGGTGCTAAAAAAAGAAAACAAAATAAAAAGAAAAAAAACCTTTTCAACCCCTTTTTCTAATTTTTTTCAACCTGACAAGGCAGGATTAGGTTCCTTTAAAACTCATAATGATTTCTAACAAGTCCATTTATCAAGGTTCATTGGGATTCCCAGGGATTAGGGAGATGCTGTGCTGGTTCCCAACCTAAATCCCCATAAAATTCACCCAGGGGTGTGGGAGCACTGCCATTTCCAACTGGAGCCAATGATTTTCCTGGCTGACTTGAGCAGTGCAGGCCTGTGCTGCACTGTAATCCCTCCTAGAGTTTCTTGCCAGAGTTTTAAAATCTTACTTTGTGCAGAGGGTGGTTTAGATAAATTATATTTTAATTATATCCTTAATTTTTCAAGGGGTAGCAGTAGGCACAGAGGCAAGTAGTCCAAAAGCAAAATGCATGACCAAGGCAAGGAGATGTTTCCCCTAAGAAAGGGGCTGTTTTCCCTTTTATCTGTAGTCTGCATTGAAAAAAGTCCACTTACCGGTTGGTTTGAGAAAATCCATTGGATATCTGGAGTAGGGTGGAGGGGGAGACTCTGGAATTAGAAAAGTACAGAGAAAATAAAGGCAGACCCATGAGAAAGAAAAAAAAGAGATAGGAACTTATGATAACAGTGGCATTCTTTTAGCAAAACTGTTTGTCTCAGCTCTGGGGGTTGGAGGCAGGGCAGAGGCGATGATTGTCTTGATATTTAGCTGTCAGATAAACAAAAGGGACCGTCTGGCGCCAGTCTCCCTGCTATCTGCCGCTCGGGCTGTCTGATCGGGGCCTCCTTGGCTCGGCGGAGCCACGGCAGCGCTAGGGCCGCCAGGCCCCTAATTCCCGGCACCGTGCGGGGACGGAGTGGAGACGGCTCCGCCCGCCGTGCCGGGGCCCCCGGAGCGGGAAATCACCCTCTCCCTTAAACAGAAAAAAATACATAAACCAAGGCAATGGAAGGGGGGGGTGTTTTGGTTTGTTGTTGGGGTTTTTTTCCAGAGGCAAAAAAATTTTGGTGGGCTGGGAGGCGAATGGGGCTACATCCCCCCCATCCCCTCCATCTCCCCGTACTCCCTCTCCCCCCGCCGCCGTACCTAGCTCGCAGAGCCGGCTGAGGTGGTGCGGGTTGCAGCAGACGAGCTCGGGGTGAGCCTTGCCGTAGGATTCACAGCAACATAACCGCTTCACTTCGGAGCAGTGGCGGAGGTCGGGCCAGCGGAACACCTTGCAGAGCAGCACCGGCAGCGGGTACCAGTGCTGGCCCAGCCGGGAGTCGGCCTTGGCGGGCAGCAGCAGGCAGGGGGTCCGCGCCCCGCCGCGGGACTCCACGGCGTGCAACAGCCCCTCCAGCTGCCGCTCCTTCAGCCGTTTCAACACGGCATGTGTCAGCGCCTTCAGTTCCGCCTCTGTACCCGCCGTTGCCCGCCCACCGCGGCCCGCCTTGCCCGTGCAGCACCCGTGCCCCCCGCTGCAGGCAGACTCCCGGGCCTCGGCCACGGCTGCACCGGGCTGGCGCACCGCCGCCTCCTCCTCCTCCTCTCCTCCAGGCGCACGGCTCCGCCAGAGCCGCCGGACGAGAACCGAGCGTTTGGTCCTGAACATACGGGACGAGAGGAGGGGGCCTCGGCTACAGAACGGGCATGTCGTCCGCCGCACATGAAGGGGCCGGGAGCCGCGGCGACAGCGGCGGGCGGCGGCGGGGCCGTGGCGGGCGGTGGCATGCGCCAGTCTCCGCGCTGGGGCTGCGGGTCCCGCCGCCTCCCGCGGGGGGCTGCACCGGCCGCCGCGAAAAACTAAAAAATAATTAAAATAAATTTAAATGAGGGGAAAAAAAAGGAGGGGGGGGGGAACCGCGGCTCGCCCCGGCTTTGCCCAAAAAAGAAAAGAAAAATAAAAAGCCCGTCTAGAGCCCGCGGCGCCCGGCGCGGGGGAGGCGAGCCGAGGTTGTCGGCACCGCGCCACCCTGTGCGGCTGCGGAACGCGGCCGGAGCCGCGGGAGAGCCTCGGCCGCCTAGGGGCCGTGGCGCCCATCAACCCGCCACGCCGGGGAGGGGGTGCGGGGGAATGAGGAGGGAGAGATACGGTGCAGGGCAAAATTAAAGGATAAAAAATAAAAAGCGAGCCAAAAGAGTGTCTATTAAAAAAAATTAGAAATATTAAAAAAACCCGAAACACCAACCCTAAGGTTTGGACGTCGGTTTAAGCATCTGTCACAAAAGAGACGAACAAGCGCATCCAGTGTTGTATCCCTTTTTAAAGCCCAGGTCGTCCTGATGCGGGGTTCGGGGTGGGTTTTTTCCTCCTTTCCAAAGGTTTTGATCCACATGGACACACATATGGAATCTTGATTCGACTGCTACGGAAAGAGAGAAAAAAAAAAAAGTGAGGCTGTGTCCCCTCCTCCGTGACTTCCCCAGCAGCGTGCTGCGGCGGGGAGAGCCGCGCCGAGCCGGCCGCCCGCTGCTCCAGGCGGTGCTTACATGGGTGCGGAGCTGCCCATCGGCCGGCGATCCTCTCCGTGCTGCCGGTGCCTGTGCCTCGGTGCTTTTTTTTCCCCTCCTCTCTACTCCTGCCTGCCTGCCTGTCTTCCCCTCCTCCTCCTTTCTTGGCTTGGGGTTTTTTTTGTTTTTTTTTTCCTTCCCTCCACTCGCTGCAACGAGCCGCCCTCCCCGCACGAGCGCCTCCTTATTTCCCTTGCTGCGGGAGAGGGGAGCCCCGGCGGCAGAGCAAGGCGCGGCGGAAGCGGAGCCGGCGGCGGCGGGGTACCTGCGCCCCCCTCCCCAGCCCCTCGCCCTGCTCCCCCCCTCAGCCCCTCGCCCTGCTCCCCCCCCAGCTACGGCGGCGGCTCGCAGTGCGCAGCGGCGCGGCCCCGGCTCGGCCCCGGCCCCGTCACGTGGGCGTCTAGACACCGTCTCGCTCCGGGGAAAAAAAAAAAATCTATATATTATATTTATCTCCAACCGCCTTTCGCAATCGGCGGCTCGGATCGCTGAAAGGTTGTGGGTCCCTCCGTCCCCGTTCCCCCTCCCCAACCTTCACCCCTGCCGCCGGACGGGGAGGCCCCTCCGGGAGCACTGCGAGGGTGCCGAGCAGGTGGTCTCCCCCTTGCACCCAGCGGGGCACAGCGGAGGAGCCCTCATGGCCGGGGTGTGTCGGAGCCCACTTGTAAGTATTGAAATATTAAACCAAATCAGTCATAAAAATTAAAAAATTAAAATATATATATATGGTTCTGGCCATCGAAAGAGGACACAGCACAATAATAATAATAATAATAATAATACTTTCCACTTTTACAGTACCTGTCATCAAAGGACTGGAAAATATTTCATAGAAGGTCAGTACACTTCAATTCTCATCAAATGCAAAGCAGAAATGATCACCATGTAGCACTGATATTTTTGTTATGGGTACTACAGTCGTAATAATCCCTGGCACCCTGGGAGCTCCACAGATCCCCCATTCCAATTCTGGACCTGCAGAGGATGGGGAAACTGAACCACCAAGAGACTGTGTAGCTCGTATAGCCCTGCTGTGCTCTGTGACCGAGCTGGGAAGTCTGGCCAGACTTCCTAGCGCCAGGTTTGGCAGGCCAGGAGCCCCCAAGGTCCCCATCCCACATGCACTCCCACGGAGTGTGGGTGGATAAGTTGCTTTAAGGTCACTAGGTAAGTCAGTTATCACGTATGAAGGAGAAACCAAGACTCTTAAATCATGGTTGCTATAAGCAAATCCAATTCTAAAATGATTGCACACAACTAAATGCAATACCAGCCATAAACCACATAAAAATAACATACCATGCAGGGACCTTTGGTGCAGGCAGGAGTGCAGGGATAATTTTAGAGCCTGATCGTGCAAATATTCATGTGAGCAGGCCAGAGAGACTCCGAATAGGCCTGGTATTTGCAGAATCTGGATCTAAATTAGTTAGAAAAGGGCTAGATTTTGGGGCAACCATATTAAATGTTAATGAGACTATACTCACTCAGGCCCAAAATCTGCTTAAAATTTGGATAAATAGTATGAAAAAAAGAGGAAGGTAAGAACATAATTTGCTAGCATCAAAAAGAATAATTCAGGAAGTTTTGTTATGAAACTGGAGTCTGAGGAAGGTGTCGGAGGGGGACTCCTCACTTCACCTTCAAATCATTAACAGCAGAAGATGCTCATTAAATTCTGCAGTTGCTGATGCTGCAGCTGAGGCAGTTTCAGAGGTGGGATGAGCTGCGCAAAGCTCAGGGCACAGCCTTGGGGTGACAGAGGAGGAGGCCAAAGCAGAACAGCATCAGCATCTGGGTCTGCTGCATGCACAAGAAAATCCCATTGCTTTTAAAATGGTTGCTTCTGTATCCTGAAAAATGGAATTTGGGTAATATTTTTAGTTTAACGTCTTGTTCACCAGCCTCCGGAGTGACCTCACGTACACCAAGGCTGATTTCCTCACTTCCTTAGTGAACTTCAATCCTTTTTCCACTGTGATGCATATGGTAAATTGATAGAGAAAAAAATAGTTCCTTCTCATTCCTGTATTTGCCAATGGAACACACACTGGACATGCCCATTAATCCATGCATTACACTTTTTAAAATTTTAAAACTTTCCAGGCTGTTATAAATGTCTTTTAGGGGTTTTTTCCCTTTGTGGTTCCTCTTGCCTCACCGCTGATGACTGCAATTACTTTATTGTCATAAACGGAGTGACAAAAATATAATGTGATGTATGCTGTGAAGGGATAGAGAACAGGAATGGGGTCCAGGAGTTAATAATATAATTTTTTTGACTCTACCATAGGTAGTCTAGGTGACGTTGGGCACATCCCTTTCTTTCCCAGAAGTACAGCTGGGCCACCAGCACTTGCCTTTGCAATCTCTGCAGGTGAAAATTACTCCAGAAGTGCTAAATATTAAATAACTGATAAAGAACTGCTTTCTAATTAACCCTGCAAACTTGTTTAAACAGACCATATGTATGTGCCCGTATGGAAAATACAGAAATGAGCATAATGAAGCTGATAAAAACGGGCATGGAACATGGGTTGGAGGGACACTTGGAAAGAAGGGCAATTCCCACAGCCTGTGCTGCTGTAGATGCATTGCTCATGGGCAGGTAGGTCAATGTCAGCCTGGGGACCTTTCCTGAAGCTGGCTTTGAAGAGCGAAAGCTGCGTTAATTTGCATTGCAATTCAGCCTTTGACAGACACTTGGAGTCAAGGCACTGTTAACCTAATTGCTTTGCTAACAGCACCAGGGTGTGAGACGCACCAAAGGCACTTCCAACAAAGGGGATAAAACCAGACTAAGGAAAACAACATCCTTTTCCTGACATCATTACCGGATACAAACAAAGAGGGTCAATAACATATACACTTTGCTCTTTTCAGGGTATGCCCTCTTTTTCACAGCAGTTTCACAAAGTTATGGAGCAGATCATCCTAAGTGCAATCGCACAACATCTACAGGATGGACAAGGGATCAGACCCAACCAGCACGGGTTTAGGAAGGACAGGTCCTGTCTGACCAACCTGATCTCCTTTTATGATCAAGTGACCTGCCTGGTGGATGAGGGGAAGGCTGTGGATGTGGTCTATCTGGACTTCAGCAAGGCCTTTGACACCGTCTCCCACAGCATACTTCTGGAAAATCTGGCAGCCCACGGCTTGGACAGGGGCATTCTCTTCTGGGTTAAGAACTGGCTGGATGGCCTGGCCCAAAGAGTGGTGGTGAACGGTGCTGCATCCAGTTGGTGACCAGTCACTAGTGGTGTCCCCCAGGGATCAGTGTTGGGCCCAGTTCTATTTAATATCTTTATTGATGATCTGGATGAGGGGATTGAGTGTACCATTATCAAATTTGCAGTTGACACCAAGTTTGGGGGGCATGTTGATCTTCTGGAAGGCAGGAGGGCTCTTCAAAAAGAACTGGACAAGCTGGAGAGATGGTCTGATTCCAACGGGATGAAGTTCAAGCAGGCAGGCTTCTGGCACTCTCCCATCCTTTTGTGCACATTAGAAATAGCTAAGCTTGTGGTCCTCCTTCTATTTAATGCATTATTTTCAGAGCAGAGCTCTCAATGAACATTCAAAGTCCGGGTTACAATGCCATTTTGGCTCTATCTGAAGTCTCCCTCCACTCCAGCAGTTCACATCGACACAGCAAATTCAAGCTATGAGACTTCAGGTCTGCAAAGAAAACCCTTCTCCAGACAGCCTTGCTGTGTACTGAGCAGCAGGTCATAGGGAGACATAGACCTAATGCTCTCACTCTTCTCATGTAGCACCACAAGCTAAAATCATCATTTCAGTACTGGTGCTCTTGGGTACTAGCAGGCACTCCAAGGTTCCATCTGTTGGAAAGAAGATTCACTGCAAGTGGGTGCATGGGAGATTTACTGCATTCAACTCTGGGGCCCCTGATATAAGAAGGACATGGACCTGATGGAGCAAGTCCAGAGGAGGGCACAAAGATGCTCAGAGGGCTGGAGCACCTCTGCTATACAAACAGGTTGAGAGAGTTGGGATTGTTCAGCCTGGAGAAGAGAAGGCTCCAGGGAGACCTTAGAGCACCTTCCAGTACCTAAAGGGGCTACCAGAGAGCTGGAGAGGGACTTTGGACAAGGGCATGGAGTGATAGGACAAGGGAGAATGGCTTCAAAGAGAGTAGGTTTAGATTAGATATTAGGAAGAAATCCTT